ATCTCCGATTGATGTTCATACGGTCGAGTCTTGCAGATATATCTCACAGGTTACGGTAGGGCCCGTTCTACATACATACTGCCTTCGGGTATACAACTGGTGTCTGGATATACACACACATATCATACGTAGCCTACGGGCTAAAAACATACATCCACAGTTTCCGAACACATACATACGGCCTACGGGCTTGCATATGTCTACAGTTGACTGAGGGAGGGGTTAGAAAGACTTAGTCCCTAGGGTGTAGATTACGGTAGTTACCCCGGCGGGTCTGAGCTCCACCTAGCCAAGATAGGGGCAAGCTAGGGGAAGGACGGTAGGACTGTCAGTCTGAGTTCCGCCTGGCCTTGGGTAAGCTGGGGGAAGGACAGTAGACTGTCTGGCTGGGGTACTGACTGCTAGTTAGCCTGTCCCCGAAGATAAACCCAGGGGTCTATAGTCTCTTGCATAAGGACACGAGGTTGGTAGAATATAGTAGTGCCTGGCGTCCGAAGTTCCCGTACAGCATGGCATGTCCGATTCCGCTTCCACTGGGACTGGGGTAATAGCTAGCCTTGGTGCCTGTCATGCTGTCTGGTCCAAGTCACCCACCTGCTGGTTGGGTGGTGATCCTGAGTGGGTTACACTGAGGTAGGATAGTAGGGTAGGGGATAGGCTGGGAGTATTGATGAATGGTTGGGTTGGGAGGTGACCTTGAGATCTTAGGACGGCCAAGGCTCAGTGCTTCCGGTGATCCCTGTGTGTGCCTGGTAATTAGCCTCTACAACACCCTGGACTTTATTAAAGAAAAGAAAGAAAGAAAAAAAAAAAAAGAAAAAAAAAAAAGAAAAAAAAAAAGGACACTCGGTTGGAAGAGACACGGCGGTCTGTTAGGAGAGTGTCCAGTAATAAGGAGCGTTGCTCCAATGGGTCGTGTAGACCCGGTAGTCTAGAGGAGATTAGTCTTAGGCTGAACTTAGTCGAGCACGTGTAGAATAGCAGCTCCTGTAGACTAGAGGAGATTAGTCTAGTCTAGAGTTAAGGTTGTCATGTTATGGTTTATTGCTGATGATTTCCTCTGAGATTTCTGGATAATTGAATGTTTGATATTGGATGGTCAGCTCTACCTAGGCTGTAAACTAAGCTGAGTAATGGTCTCAGTATCCGGGTAGAATTGTGAGGTCACCAGGCTCCCTGTTGTTTGGTTGGAATATAAATCTGGTTTGGCCCACGTGGTTGTAGAAAGTACTTCCTTTTGTTTTTTCCCTGTCTTCGGTTTTTTGAGGTATTCGACCAGGTTAATACCCCTGGCCTGTACATGAATGGTAGACATGAACCCCAGTGCACGAGCTCCATCCCTGAAACTGAATCAGGGGATACTCAATCAAGGAGTTTTTCAACGCATCTGTAGATGCTATTGAGGTCAGGTGCCGCTAGGGCGGACTGAAAAGGCCATCAGATACACCCAATAAAGTCCTGGTGTATATTGCACGGTGCTACCCTCCTTATTTATAAAGAAGGGAAGCAATACAAGTGCACAGGGGAAAGGCTGGTTGTAGGTTAGTCCTGGTTCATGCATACACAAGAGTCAGGAAAGGGGCACCATGTCAAATACATTGGGTTTCTTTGGCTCTTCTTTTTTCGGGGCAGCCTGGAGGAAGCAGTGTCCAGCAACCAAAGAGCCTAGCTCAGCTGTATACCCACAAACTGTTGAAATACAGACCTATGTTCGAGTCCAGAAACAAACAGATGACCAGAAAATTCTGAATCACCTGGGGCCGATTAGTTGGATGATGATATCTGAAGGCTGTCTCCCTTTTTCGAAAAAACAAGGGTCCAGCAGCACAGGCCCCATATCCCCGATTAGGAAGCCAGCCTGCAGTCTGCAGCCCTGCCTAAATGACGCACATTCTGCCCCTCAGCCCCATAACATCATCCATCCACCTACCCCACATTCCATCTCCTAGGCCGCATAGTACTGTCCAGTCCACACCTACCTCACATAGTAGCCCACAGCCAGACCTCCAGTGCACATAGTATCACCCACATTCTACTGTCCAGCCCAGCATCACCCACCTACCTCGGAGTGTAGACCCTTAGGGCCTCGCTCCACTAAAAAAAAAAAAAAAAAAAAAAAAAAAGGGCCTCGCTCCACTACTCACCACATGCACAAAAGACAGAAAATAGGGCCGAGTACTGTGGATAACTGTCATTGGTCTGAAAAAAAAAAAAAAAAAAACCTGTCATTGGTCGAATATCCCACCTCTACAACAACCTGGGCTTTTGCGTAAGGGCCTCGCCGCACCACTGCCGAGACGAAAAACGAGCGAATGCATCTTCCCGCGGAGAAGCGCCCGATGCATCCGTTACTATGAATAGCAATGGATCCATCATCTTACGGCTTTCTGCGGCAGATGCATTCCTTCTCTTTTCGTTTCGACAGTGGTGTGGCGAACCCCTAAGGGCGGCGCCACACCACTCTCGAAATGTGAAAAAGACAAAAATGTGTCGGGTGCATCTGGCCATGTTCTAGCGGAAATTTCATTCTCATTTTGCACATTTCGAGAGTGGTGTGGCGATGCCCTAAGATGCATTCTCATTGGCAGATTTGGTGAGATGTGGAGCGAGGCAGTTTTTTTTCTTTTTTTTTCGAACGAGGCACTTAGCGCGCACAGCTCCATCCGCTCCATATATT